CTAGTTGTGCAAGTTTTTACTTTGTTTCAGCCCACAAATAAATATAAACAGATCTATGTAGTATATTCACCTTCTGCTAGTAGAACATTATGGGCCAGCTAGATTCAGAATTTCAGCTCAGATCTGCAAAGAGTGGTTATTCAATGCTATTTTCTGTTCTATTTAACAAACACTCATATAGAGTATTTTTTGAGTAACCAAGAAAACAGATGAAAGGGATTCTTCTGTTGCCCCAGTTATGGGCAGCTCTCCCTGCTGTTCCCCACTGAAAGGAAAATACTCCTGTATTTAAAAATAACCAGGAGGTTTCTTAGTGTTAGATTTTCCCAAATAATTTTAACCCCACAGCATTAATTTGAGAGTGCCTAAAAAAAAAAAAGGAAGGCTAAAAAAATAAATCCAATCCTAACCATCACCCATAGCTGTTTCTAAAATCCACCTATGGTTTGCAGCTCCCAGCCCACACAGTTAACACAACTGACCTTGCTGAAATCTCCCTGGGTAAGCAAGATAGCTCTAAAAAAAGAACACCAGGCCCTCACGATTAATTGCTAACTATTAATAAATTAGCATATTTTTCCCTCTTCTCCCAGGCATACCTATAAGTGTAGTTGTCCAACAGCTTTACCAGGAATGGAAATCTGAGTATTTCATGACATAATAGATGCAGGAATAAGTAATGTTCCTGAACTACTAAGAAAGGGAATAACTGAACCTGGAGTGCAACAAGGAGGCCAAAGCAGACGCGTGATCCCCAGCCAGCCGAGACTACAGCTACAGCAACAAAGGCCAGACTGTAATGGAGCCTCACAACAACAGAGGCTTCTAAACCACAAGCGCGTCAAACTGTTCTTACCGTGTAAAATTTGGCTTGAAGTTACAACTCACATAAGTATGTGAGGCCTGGGGGTAGGGGGAAGAGACAGATCAGGCTACAGCAAACAAAGAGGAGGCACAGGGATGTTCTCTAGTAAGAGTGACATTTCTCACACAGGAGGCTCTATGCCAAATGCAGCTTTTGTCTTCCTCACATCTTTTGAGGAATGATCATAGCTGAGGGGTTTCCAGCAGCCAGGGGACTCTGAGATCTGAAAAAGTTTCTCCGCATCATCAGATCCCTCTGTCTCCTTCAAATTCTTGCTGCACCAGTAAAACTAAGTCACTTTTGTGCAGTGTACTACAGATGTCCTACAACTTCCATGGCCACTCACCTGCTCCACAACCACCTGAATAACTCCTGGAATACCTCTAGAGGAATTCAGGCTTGTGGGCACTCAAGGGAGTGCTGCAAGATACAAGTGAGGGCTTCGAGTCCCCAGACATCTTAGACTGCACAGAAGCAAGACCACAGGTCAACTGCAACACCATCCAGATGTTAGCTTATACCTCAACAAGAACCACCAACTCAAAAAAAAAATCAAGACCCAAACACATCTTCTCATATAGTCAGGAAAACACTGCAGACAATATTGTTTAAAGAGCATAAACGGAGTCAGAAGTAAATCATCACAGCATCCTAGGCAAATACGTACCTTTTCAAGGCTAAATATGACCTCAAAATACTATCTGAATTTGTTGCACTGGAAGAGAAACCTAAAATGACATCATCACTTCTTCCAGACAGAAATTGAGGTGGTGCTTAAAAAAAAAAAAAAAAAAATCAGGTACAGTTTTCAAACATTGATGTTGTAGCTAAAAAGTTATCACATCCTTGGTCAAAGCTTGATAAATCCTTCATGTACAAAGAAAATTGCTACCAATAAAAGCACAACTCTTCCCCTGCAGCTTCAATTTAACTAGACCAGTTGCACAGCCCACTAGTGACCATATAGTGCACTGTGCCAGAAAAAACACCCTTGTTCACAAAAAATAGCAGCACTCTAGTCTGAGTTAGCAAGAGAAAACAAGCAACTGTGTTTTGTATCAGTTCTTGTTGGTAACAATGAACAGAGCTCTTTTTATTTTAAACCTGACTACAAATATATATTTATGTGCTGCTTACTAACTTTTGATAGGTTCTATTTTAAATTCTACATAAATGCTTTTTACAGTATTTTCCAAGGAGTGAACAGCTCAAAATCACAGAGCAAAACTCATCAGAATAAGAATTACCTTGTTAAAAAAAAGTTAGTTCCAAATGACTAAATAAAAGAAAGAAAAAAAAAAGGTAAGTTGACCAAAAGCAAATAAGCTGCCCAGAAGTAGTTATACAGCCTACTTTAGGATTTTACTTTCAGGGGTTTGTTTCATGAACAGGGGGAAATTTCCATACTTTTTCTGGTTTGGAAAAGTTATTAAAAAATAATTTATCAAAGTTTGACTGTAAAAAGATTTGGAAGGAAGGGAAAAAACAGGTCCTAGACAAATATTCTCAGTTTCACAATGAACATTAAAACAGATTGAGACCACTAATTTTCACCACTCTCTATATTTCTCCAAGATATTTTTTACCATTGTATGATAAGCAAGAATCATTATCTGCAAAACCAATCTCCCTACTGAGAGCTGGCATATCCCACCACAGTTATTTACGTCACGCCCCTAAAAAAGATCTCCATGGTACCACAGCACTAACTACTGGTAGTGGATATCACCAGCCAAACACTTTACCCTAGAGTTTGACCAGTTCAGTGAAGATCACGGTATCACTCTTCAGAGATGAAATGTGCCAGAAAGCAAATGGCATAAGCTCCCCTCCAACCACCTTCAGAATTAAATGTAGTAATCATAAGGTAAAATACAGAATATTGGTCTTCGTCAAACATGAAATCCAGTGGTTGTGAACTACATAGTAAAAAGCTATTTCAGATGAAAAATAAACTATGAAACATTGTGCTAATAAGGCTGTTAGCTAGCTATTAAAGTGTCTATTTTAATGTGCAGAGATGAAAGCAGAACCATAAAGAAAAACTTTCCACACCTCATTTCTTTATTACAGTCTTGCCATGCAGGGAGTGACATAAAATGACTCTGTGCACCAAAGAGGTCACAAGCTTACCCAGAAACTGAAAAACAACAGCACAAACAAAAGTCATCAGCGGTCTTCAATTTATTTCTTTACATTTCAAAGGACACGTGTTTCCATTAGTCAGAAGACCCACCTCCCAACTAGGGCCAGCCCTCAAATCATTCTCCATAACACTAATTTAGGGTCCAGCTAAAGAGTTACCTGTTCAAGGAACCTGTGAGTAAAACAAATTATGCAAGAAAGGAAGCCAAGCATGCTTAAATATAATAAAGGCTTTTAAAATGATTAGCAGGTTTACTCTTTGATCTGGCAAGCTAACCAACTTTCAGCACCCAAGAGAAAAAAATACAATGAGGGAAAAGCTTTACATAAATATTGCACATACCAAAGCAAAAGGCTTATTACATTGGAACAATGCACTCCCGTTTAAACCAATACCAAGCATAAAGGAAAAAGGAGAGAGATCTTTCTCTGGAAGTTATTGATATGTTAACGCATAACTTCACAGCACGTTTGTGTGGAATTCTCTCCTCACAAAGGCTACTTGGAAGGTCCCTCACTGGCACCGGCTCCTTCACGCACATGTGCACGTTCTCAGAAGGGCTGGGAGTATCCATCTCTCCCTGTCTGAAGACATGAGTCTGCTTTCCAAATTTGCCTCAGTTTTGAGCCGCACTACTGCCAAGTGCTGACCACAGGCATGCACTCCAATCAGCATTATGGTCCTGAGACAGAACAGTAATGGCTGCTGTAAGTAAATGCCGCTTCTAATGCGAGGAAACTTTCACCTCTGAAAACATTCCTAACTTCTCATCAACTTCAACTCCAGCAACGCCTGTGAAAATACTTTGTGTAACGTAAGAGGATCATGCTAAATCTAGTCCTACAAGAAAAGGAGACGTACACTTAAGAAGTCATAAATCCCTCACCTAATTCATAGCTTTATTTCCCTTTTGGTTCATTCCCAGTAGAGCGGGAACTGCAACAGCAATACCCCAATCGGCATTCGGAAAGCACTAGCAGGGTCCAACCAGCACTGACAGCAGGAGGATTAACCTGCCTTCAAAGAGAGACCCGATAACACCCAACGCCGCCGAAATCCCCACGGCAGGAGCGAGGACCCCTGGCCCCGCTGCCTCCGTCCCACCAGAGACTCCGGGGCCAGGACGCAAGGGGGGGCAGGCTCCACACATCGGTCTCGCTGAGGCTTTCGCAGCTACGTCAACACTGCGAACAAACCTCGAAGCAGAGGAGGAAGTTTTAGTAGGCGGGGGAGGGAGAGACACAAGCATACACGCGAGAGATGAGGGGTGGGAAGGACGGACGGACGGACAGACGGACGAAGGGGCCGCTATTTAACTCTCCGAGCGGGAGTCTAGCGTTTCAATCCCATCACCGTTAAACAGTATTAAGAGTTCTTGCTTACTTGAGCTACTTTAGAAACTTTCAGCTTAACTTACAAACCTGAAGTTTTTTCGAACCGTGAATGGGTTTTGCTTGAGAAGCTGAAAGCTGACTTACGTGGGGCTTTTCAGACCTAAACGCCTCTATGATTCCGCGATTTTACCTGCCTGAAGGAGCACAGTTCCCCCCTGCCTATGCAAGCAGGCTGGCCAGCATAAGCACAGGAGAAGGGGACCGAGCCATGAGTTAGGACCCCAGTGTACATACGCGTACCTCGAGTCAGCCATCCTCCCTGCAAAACTCGCTTCAAAACCTTCCCCTTTTCCCATGTCAAAAACAAAACCAAAACTAAACAACAACAAAACCACAAGGCGAAGCAGGCACAAGCGCACGAACAGGTATGGAGCCAAGGCAGGAGGGCGCGGAAAGTCGCCGACTCCCGAGCGCCACGCCGGGCAGTCCCGGGGCTCAGCCGGGGGCGCGGCCGCGCAGCCGGGGCCGGGGCTGGGGCTAGCGCTGGCCAAGGCCCCGCTGGCCCCGCCGGGCAGAGCAGCCGCGGCGGCACCGGGGCACCCCCGAGCCCACCGCCGGAAAGTTCCCCCGGCGCCCAGGGCCGGCGCCCTCTTACCCTTAGTCCAGTCCACCACTTGCTTCGGGCTCCACCTGGTCACCGGCTCCATGGCGGGCTCAGCCCCTCCAGCAGCAGCCCCCACGACAGACCCGCAACCAGCCTCCTCCGGCCGCGGACTCGCCCCCTGCCACTCTCCCATCCCGGCGGCGCCGCTCCGGGCCGCCCCCTCCCCGGTGCGGCTCCTCCCGCCGGCCAGGGCCGGGCCCGCCCCGCTGCCGCTCCGCCCCCAAGTGCTGTGACCCGCCAGCCCTGGGCCGGCTCTTTCCTTGGGAAAGTGCCGAGGAGAAACTTCGTGGGCTTCCCGCTCCAACAGGTCCGGAGGAGCGGCGGTTCGGGAGTCTCCCGGCATCCTGCCCCGGGAGCGGCGGCAGACCCGTGTGGTGGAGCGGCGGCCGGGCCCTTCACCCCGCCTCAGTGGTGGCTCTGAGTCACAGCCTTGTGGCAATTTTAGCAGCAACTGAAGACTGCCTTCCACCACGCTTGTCCCAGTGTTGGCATTTGGGGTTTTTATTTCTGAATCCCTCTCTTAAAAGCGTCTTTGGGTGTGGAGGCCGTTTCACCGTAAGAGATTACTTCTGTCATGCTGCTCTTGGCTGGGAGCTGCATTAAGCCATCAGCTGTATCTCAGGCTCGCTTTCCTCAAGGGAAATGTGTCACTGTGTCCTGGCCGCCTCCTGAAGCCCATGTAAGCCTCCACTGAGTGCTAGCCCCTGCTCAGAGGTTAAAGGGCTGACTTCCAAACTGTGTACCCAGCACACCAACCTCCACCGTTCTGTACCACTGAGCATGTAACTCTGCCTACAACCACTTTTCCATTAACAAAGCAGCGAGAGGAGACGTGGAGAAACCAGTTTTTATTGGGTCTACCACAATACTCTGGTTCAGCAGCAAATTCCAGCCTGAAGCCCTTTTGTAACATGCACGGTCTCACTGCTCCTCTTCCTCAGCGGGAAAAAACAGAGTAAACTCTGCTGTGACAGTAAGACTGCGAAATTTTAACTTGGCAATATTAGAGACCGAGGAAGCAGCTGGGATTTCAGCCTTTCCAGTATCACATTGTTTTCATCATTTCTCATCTCTATCCATCTGTTATCCCTAGTCATGTACTTGAAATGTAAGCTCTTTGGGACAGCGGCTGTCAGTTTTGTGCATGGCTGTGCAGCACCCAGAGGTGCAGTGCCCAGCTTTCCCACCATGGCACAAACAGCTGCCTTCTGACACACACTGCTGTGGGCTCCTGCACGGAATCAGGAAGAGTTTTAATTCTAGCTCTAGTTTTGGGAATTAGTAGTTTAAAAAAAATTATCTCTTTGCATGTATATCTAAAAAATAATAATTTGTTCATTCTTTTTGTTACATGGTGATTGAAAGTGTAATTTTAGTTCTTTATTATAAGGTCAACTCATTCTAGCTGATTTATTTATTTACTTTTTAGTTTGTGAAGTATAAAGCCTGTCAGATAACCTCTCTGCCTATTTGAAAGATTAAAATGCAATTCCTCACAGCTTTAATATTGGTGCAACAACCAGAAGTTTCCTAATTCCTCATTGAATTGTGTGCCGTTCATGCTTAAAGAACACCCGAAAAGCAACTCTCCCCCCTCTTAGAGGCCTGAGTAAACAGATGGGCCTTGCTGTGTGCCCTGCTAGAGGTTTCACAAGGGTTAATGTAACAACGCTTCAGTCTTAACTACACAGACGCTTCCCCGCTTCCCGACATGGCAGGTTGGAAAGCAAATGTCTCTCACCGTTGGTGTTTGGAGCAGTCATCTGCTGTCATCCTTCTCTGTCACACATCTTGAGCCAGTCTCTCTGCCTGATTTGGATCAGATAAGTACCATATTTACTGAGTAAGGCATGCTGAGATGGTCACTTGCTAGCAAATTGCCAATCCAACAATTCCATTATTAATTCTTAATATTTTTTGTAATTTTCTAAACGACAAATCCATTTATTTTTTTTAAGCAAGGCAACATTGCAGTGACTCTCTGTTCTTTTATTACATGATATCCTCCCATACCAACTGCTTTACAGCCTGCTCTGGACACATAAAATGGGACTGACAGGGGAAGGCAGTGTGTCAATGGTTACTCAGAGGGATTTGTAGCTATATTGCTTACCTGTGTTACTTTTTCCAAACCCAGACTGCAACTGCCTTTGAGTTGATTTTTCTCATGATTTCTTCATCTCAAACTTGTCTTTATTTGAGATGAGATTAACTAGTAGTCAATTGGCATGATGCAATTAGAAGTTCCGTTTATAGAATAAGGTATTTTTGTTAAAAAAAAATACTCATCGAGAAAAGCAATAATAATAAAAAAACCCCTCTGTCTGATTTCTAGCAATGCCAAATCAAAAAATAACACTGTTCCTTTGCAAGTCTTTAGATGCTCTGTGAGTTAGTCTATGAGTTCTGAGCCAGTATCAACTATTAGGAAAGATGTCCATTCCCTTTCCCTGTTTGCAGCCTCATGTGGAGTTCATTGCTGTGCCAAGGACCAGACTACAAGCTCACCAGAAGTGCATAGTTTTTCTTTTGTTACAATTTTGTAGTGGTAAAAGTGATTTGATTTGAGAAGGAGATTCAGACCAATTGTTTATTGACTCCTTATTTTGTTTTTTTCCTTCTCTTTATTTCCTCTTTCAGGACAGGTTTTCAAAGGGCTATCGGGCTAGTTTGCATGGGCAGCCTGACAACACAGAGCTCACCACGGACCAGGATCATGGTTTCAGAGTCACAGACACAGCACCCTGCACTCTCCCGTCACTCCAGCAGAATGACAAAGTGTTCATAAATCCACAGCCATACCCTGTCAGGCTGGTAGAGGAAGTTACACAGTGTTTGTCACCTTCAGGTTTCTATCCTGGCGGCTGATTAACAAAAGGAGGTCAGGTGATTCTTTATAACAGAAAATCTGCTGGCATAAATTATCCTTTCAAGAAAAAAAATTTTAAAAGTGTATTTGAATCATTGGGAAGGCTTAGATTCGTTTCAGCAGCTGGGTTGACTCTAGTCTGGCTTAACACTGCATTTACCGTTTTATCTAAACACAGTCTTGTTGACCCCTTCTCTTAGGCCATACTTTTCAATACCACCAGCTCATCACATAGATTCAAATTTTGCTTGATAGATAGGTGGTCACATTCTTGACAAAGTAACCAAAGTGGACAACAAGGATGGTATTCAAATTTTAAACTAGCTTGAGGGTGAGAGACTGTGGTTGATCTAGCACAAAGACCTGCTGATACAGAGCGAACACACCAAAATTCCTTGAACAGTTTACAGTTTAGTGAGTTTGGACTGGGTTATCTCTTCACATCCGTTGCTGCTTGTGTCTCCTGGCTACTTCATTGCAGTCTGCCTGTTGCCAGACTTACTACCACCCACCAGAGCTATGGCTCAGGTCCCATGGCATTGTACATATTTACACAGGCAGCAGCAGCACTGCACAGCTGCAGAGCTCCCTGCCTGCATGGATGCAGGTTTGAGTCTTAAGCCTCTTTCTCTGAGAGGTAACTGCTGTTACTCATCTCTAGAGGGATGAATAAACAAGTGTTTAGCCAAAGGTCGCATACCAAGTTCAAAAAGTGTGGTTTCTGTTCAGGGCCACAAAAAGTTATTTTTATTACTGAATCAATTTTTTTAGAGGGGTCAGCATATTGCAGTTCATATTTTTGAGTGGAAGAGATGATTATGCTGTTTGGCAAAGCGTGGTCTAAGAAAGTTTTACGCTACATTACATTACATTTTCATTACATCATTCGTGAAAGGCTTAAGATTTATTATTTAATATTCACAGATGAAAGCTGTAAAAATTGACAAATTTAAAGTATCAGGAACAAAAGCCAATATATGCTAGAAAATCCACCGTTTACTTCTATTGACAATCCACAGATGAGCAGTTAGGCCATCATCCCTGACCTTTTGTAGCTAGTAATTCTTCAGAGTCCATCAGACTATTTTCATTACAAAAGAATTTAAGATTTACATATGACTTTCCAAGCATTACCTTAATCACACACAGGGCACAGAAATCAGTAGGACTTTTTAGACAAGAGAATTTTACCCTACATAACTAACTGAAAGCTTCCTGGTAAGGTCAGTGAGTATTAAAGTTCTCTTGGAAATTGCAACAGGTAACTTAACTGAGTCAGAGTGAGTCAGGTTCAGAACAGGGTTTGGTTCTATCAGCACGTAATTAAAAAAATTCACACTAATGGAAAACTTTTGTTGCACAAGAATCAACACCCTACTTCTCTCCTTGATACTGGTATTGTTAGTGATGGATCTCTTCTATATGTGACAGCGTGGGAGATCTTGATGTAGCCTGATGAGAGAAATAGGTCTGCCCAGTCCTATTTTGAATACAATGTATTCAAAGGGAGTATTTTTCAGCGGATTGGGTAAGGAGAATAGCTGAGGGGGGGTCTTCTGGGCTTGAGCACTTACTTTGGAAAAACAGTGTACTGGCCATGGCTTCCAACTGTGTGCTAGAGAAAACAGACTGACCAAGGTGTAGTGTCATTTGATGTAATACTCTAATGAATTCAGGATGATTTTGATAAAACAATTAAATTTCCCCTTCAGTAAAACAAAAATAGTAATTTCAAATCGGACTAAGTGTATAAAAAGTCTTGCCCTGAATGAAATACTGCTTGCCAAGAAAAGGAAACATGAGAAAGGTATAAATTCAGGCCCCAGGGTTTGTGCTTGTTCCCTTGGTGACCTGGATCAAATATTTTAATCTCTGTATTTTCATCTCTTCACCAGACAAAGGTTAATAATCTTACATTGGTGACAAATACTCTATTTTTATTTGCCCAATATATCCTTTTAAAATAACTGAAATAGCTCTAACAATAAAAATAAATTACCAGCTCAAGTTACTGAAAATACTTCTAAGCCCTGGAATATTTTTAGGTAGAAAGGAGTAAGAAAAAAATAGATGAAGAGACAGATGCAAAGAGTCAGATGCAAAGTGGTTCTAATGACTTAGCTAAATTCATTTAACTTTATGTGTATCTACAGCTGGCCATAATACAACACATATCGAATAAAGAGGGCTATGGTTATGGCTGGTTTATCAGTAACCAAAGTTATGTTAAGAAGACCTACATATATTGCTCTATTTATAATATCTCTATCAG